TGTAAGTTGCCAATATATTTATTGGTGTTGTTAGCGGTTAGATACTTATGAATTTTTTCGTTGAGTGTGCCATTAAATCGCTCGAGAAAACTCTTTTCTCCTCATTTCAAGCAATATATTTTTTAAAGTTATTTTATTCCAAAAACTGCTTTTTATTAAAAACTCTGCTCCACGATCAATCCAGATTCTATTCGGTTTTCTTTCTGTAGTTGCCATTATTTGTTTTAGCGCATCAGTCATTGATGTCTTTGTTTTATCCGAATCTTGTATATTTATGACACAAACCTGGCGATGTCATTTTTGAAAAAACTCCGTGAAAATTGTTTACTTTTTTATTTTATTAAGTATATCAAAGTCACTTGGCACGAACTTTATGTCCTTGTTCATGTCAGCGTTAGTCCTCGTCCTCGTCCTAACAGACCCGGCAATAGACTTCCCGCTAATCATGCTAGTAATGGGGCTATTGGAAGAAATCCACCTTGTCGATGTGGTGTCTTTTTTTTTTTTCGTCGTTGTCTTTTTTCGCACCGTTTTTCGCATAGGCCTATGGTTTAAACTTTAGACAAAAAATTGCCATAGATTTTCATACGAAATTTTATTTTACACTGCCGACGCGGACAATACCATTGCCTTTAACTGCCTTCTCTGTTACGCCAGATACTACTCCAGATGCTGCTGCTATCCCTAATGTATCAAGTACTGGCATAAGATTATGTTTTGGCTATTACAAATAGTGCCCGACCAAAGAAACCACCTTGTTTTTACATCGCAGTTACTTGTACAGCACTTCAATTTAAAATTAAAGGATTTATTTTTTTCTTGATTTTCGGTTAACAACAAATACTTGTTTGAGGTTTAGGATTGACCTTCAGTGAAACTTGGCTCTGTTTTGCAACAGCAGCTGCTAATGATTTTAACCTGACCATCAATTAAATATATTTCTTATACAATATATTTTGTCATTATATTAAAGTTACAGATTAGATTTGAAGTGTAAATCACTTTAGACTTCTACTGTCATTTTACCTCCGACAGAGACGACTTTAACAAATTTATCACTTATCACTAACGCATGTACGTTTAATAGCGCTGCTGGAGCGCCTCCTAGTGTCCAAGTTATTTCAATATCAGTTGTGCTGTCTAGCAGCTCGCTATGTGTACTAACATCAAAAGAAAATATCGGTTAAACTGTACCAAATTCCTCCAATGATATCTAAGATCCATCACCAACATCTTGATATTTTTGAACTGCGTCGATTAGATACATGTAAGGTCTAGTAATGTTTTTATTAGCGTCATCTGCAAAATTACACTATCGCTCGCTCTGAGTATCGCTTTGAATTGATTCTGGCATATATTCGTCTAACATTAGCGTTATCCAATATCGCATTAGTTTGTTCTTGATTACCACGTCCAGCTTGTTGCTTGAATAAAACAAATAATTGATGCGGTAATTGTTCACTTGATGTTGTTGTGACTCGCCACGTGTAGTCTGTGGTATTCGGAACTGTTGTTTGATATATTATATGTTGCTGAAAATAAATTATATTGGTAAGATTTGCAGCATATCATTTAATTCTGACATTTTAGTAATTGACGGAGTTATTCGAGACATATACAGCACAAGTTTGTTCATTAAAATTTGTACATTAACACCACCATGTAGAAATAAACAATCATTTTGTTCTGCATGTTTGCCTCGACAAAATTCTTTATTATAGTCCCTGCAAAAACCAGATATTGTACTTAGTGGCTGCATCATTGTAATTGACGTGATCCTGCTGCAAGTGCCTTTCTCTTATCATAACCTTCATTATAACGTCTATTTCGAAATACAATATTTTCAATAACTAAATCCAACATTTGAATGGCAGTAGCAGCAAGTAGTGCTATATCAAGATTATTACAAGCAGCAGTAAGCGAAACTCTTACAGCATCTATATTATCGCCTGCAGCTGGCGCGGCTATAACTAAAACATCAGTATTCAAAATAAGAAAATTTCTTATGATTATGAGATCGGCTGCGGTATCAGCTCCGTGGGCTTAAACACCTTTTGAAATCTATTCATTTGGCTCAAGTATTATTATACCACTTCCAGTATATTTAAACCACATCATATTAGCTGCAGTTGACCTGGAGTAATTATCAGAAAACGATTTAGTTCTAAGATTGTTAAATTTCTTTGTATTAAATTGTTTTCTATATATTTTTCTTTGTTCCTAATATGGTTTTGTAATATACTAACTGACCAATTCGGATCCCATATTACTTTGCGCAAATAGTGATAATTCCATTTTTGACATCAATATGCTCCTATGGTAAATGGTATCTCTTCTAATTGCTATCCCATATGCTTTCATAATATAACTGACATTTGGATTTCGTCTAATCTTATAATGCATTTTCACCCAGATGAATATCACTATAAAATCGCGAAATAGAACAAATCGGCTTAATAACGGCAAAATAATGACACTTTTTATTGCCTTTGCTAATAAGTTTTTGAAAATCCATTATTACCAATCGCATTAATACCGTCGTGTATTATTCTTTTAACATAATATCATGTCATTTTATCTGTCATCTATTCCTGAAATAATATCTGCGTCAGAAGCGCCAGTTTGCCCCTGCGGCTGGAAGATTTTTACCGATTATGTTGTCTTGATATATTAGGCCTGTCATCAAAAGCATCTTTGAACTAAATCTTGTTAGTTCTGATGAATTGCATCCTCATTTGATTTATGAAAAAATGCCATCCTAGTACTCAATTGTGTAAGACATATAGTAATTTTGTTCAATTATAGCATCAATCCTCAAACACATTGAAATAACTACAATGCCTTCTTTACAAATACTACTGCAGCATTATCGGGATATGAAGAGTCTGCATCTGTTTTACGTATTCATCGTCATTACTGAAAGAAAGAAAGAAACCAAATAATGTACATGCTGTTTCCGGCATCGTTCATGATTTATGAATATGTCTATATTTAATATTTATACTAGATATTTTCTTCAGCATATAAATAATATGAAACAAGTCCATCTTTTCAGTCATCTTCAACATTATATTTTTCTAATGGATAATATATGATATGTTTTTTCAAGTAGGTAAATAAATTTATTTGGTATTATGGTAAAAATCCAGGTAACTAATTTTGCTTAAAAGTTAACAAGACATTTGAGTTTAGTCCATAACTATTACCAGCAAATTGATAGCAGTTATATTTACCGTCCGGTCACCCAAGTTTAGCATAAAATTATTCAATCAATGAAACTATTGTTCCCTCTTCGCAAAGAGGGGTGATTAATTAGATTTGGCTGTCGTTATCTATAGGATGACCTTCCTAGATTTTTCTGCCCGGTGTGAGGGGATAGATTAAACGTCAACAGAGAACTGAGGATAATTATTGAGAGGAAATAATCCAATACGAGGCCCCTTTAGACAAGAGAATCGTTATCTGGACATTAAACACAATTAAATTTACTATATATTCTCATCATTTGCTTCTCATTACTGAACTTTCTACTGTGTAACGATCCATGTACAATATAAATCATATGTTAATATAAAATACCTTAAAGATGACTTCACCGTGAAGTTCTTGTCAAAAGTTCACAATGCAATGATTAGTCTTATTTGATATTGGTTTGAAGTATGTAAAATTATTGGTTCAGTACACTGAACTGTATAATGTAGACTTTTCGTAGTTGCATGACCTTCCTAGATTTTACTGGTTTGGTCTCTTTTTTTCCGGGTAAATATAAAACATAAAAATTCATACGGATGTAATGACGTTGGTAGTAATGCCCCTATATATTTATCTGATGGTAATTATTTTAGTATAATTATGGCTTCTATTATTCTTCTGCAATCAATTGAAGGTACTGCTTATTCATCAATCTATTCCTGTAAACATTTGTTTTTGTCTAACAAGGTTTCCAACATGTTCAGTTATCTCCTTATGGGATATTTTATCTTCTATTTGTGCAACCAAAGAACATTTTAAAAGATTTTCTTTTTCTACAAATCGTGGACATAACATTTCCTTATCAAAATTAATTGCAATTACGGCAATATCCGATCTTTTTATAAACACATAATTCCTACTTTCCCAGGTAATGTTTGTTTTTAAATACATTCTTAGAATAAATATATATTGACTTTAGTATCATAGATTATTTTAATGTTATAGCGTATTATCATCTAACAATATTTTCAAATGAAGGCTTGATATCAACCTTCCTTGCATTTTATTTAGATATCTCCAAATAAGCTTTATCATGTAAAGCTGATATCCTAAATAAACAAATGTAGCAATGTGTTTAACATTTATTTCAAATTAAAGTAATGCTACATAATGATATCAATTATCTTTTTTATATCACAAGTTCTTGAGATTGGATTGCTTTTCTTTGAATATTAGCATCTGGTCTTGCGCCTTTTCTTGCAAAATAAAATGGTGTCAATGATCAATTATATGTTCACCTTCACCGTTATGTAATGATTGATTTAACGTTATTCTTCAAACTGTGTATACAATTTTATATCCCTCATTATTGAACATTGAATCTTCACTGATTAATGTATAATCATCACCAATTATTTATAGCTAATGGAGTTGTCGTTTTGATGTGATGTGATGTGATTATGATTTTTAACGTAGATTTAACACTTTTTCAGTCATTTCGCTACGATGTATAATCATTGCCAATTATGTATAACCTATAGCTAATGGAGTAATCATTTTGATGTGATGTGATGTGATTATGATTTTGAACGTAGCTTTAACATTTTTTCAGTCATATCGCTACGATATCTGCAGTGTGACAGTTTATAGTGATGTCTAGCACTAGGGCATCATGCCGCAGACATGTTGCATGATGTCCCAGCCAGTCAGATTATCATGACATCAGGCCGACCAGTCATAACACTAACCTCTTAATGCTGAGCGCCAAGCTGGGAAGCTGTTAGTACCATTTTTATAAGTCTTTTGTATGAATCGACCGGAAATCGAACCCACGACCTCCCGCATCCAAGGCCGACGCTCTAAACACTAGGCCACTGGAGCGGTCTTGTCATTTTGATGCATTGTATATTTTAACAAAATTGATAAAGATGGAACACTTCATGAACTTTCATTATGTTATAAGATATCACTGACTGAGTTCATAAGATACGGTTGTCATGGCAGTGGTACTTCTAGTTCAACCTCAAATGGGGATTCACCGGGTCAGTAGAAGAGCAAAGATTGAATAACTATCGTTCAAAACATTAAAACTTTACTATATAGTTAATTCAATAGGATTTTGTTTTTAAACATATCATCATTTATATTTTGGCTAATATAGTTACATTAATCATTATGTGATTATAATAGAATATAAAAAAAAATAAATTTTGTAAATTCATCACGTAATCTATTTCAGACAAAACTTCAATGCAAGATAGCTGTTACGTGACAAGGGCTCGTACTGATTAACAAAGAAAAGAGTGAAAGCCATCAAGCTTTGTACAATTTAACTAAATAATTTTTTTTTCACTAGAGAAAAATATAAAATGGTAAATACGACTTACGGTATGTGAATATAATCCAAAATTTAATTAAAAAAAATGATAAATACAAATCCTATCACTAAACAGTTCTATTACAATCCAGGTTCGCAAATATGGAAGGCGATGATGTTAGATGTGATGCATGTACGAATATCAACACATCCTCAATTGAATCACATTTTTTGTTAACGAATAATTCCAGAATAAATTTCCATGAGTAGTTTTTCATAATGTTTTATAAGAAAGTTGAGTTTGCTGGAAAATAAATTATTAAAACCAAATATCAGATGAAAAACACCCAATCTGGCAATATATAAAGAAAACACCTTGTTGATTCAAGATGTTAAAACTACTCTGCCAGAAGAATATTAAGAATGCGTATTTAACCCCCCAAAACATCATTTCAAGCCTCTCGCGAATGGTCACTAGGTCCCTTACTACAAGAGATCTATCACGTACGCCAGTGTAGCCCCACTTAAAATCCAATAATAAATAAACGTTTTTTACGCATAGTGATCACGCAATCAAAGTATAACCCTGATAATGACTAATCATTTTAACTATCTGCTTACTTTCTTGCCAACCCAAGACAAACAAGGTTAACTAAAAATAATTCTCATGTAACACGTTTTACGTCTTAAATAAGCAATATTTACTAAAAGAAAATATAGAATTACTGGAAAAGAATTTCGAATCATGTCAATAATCGTTACAATAAAATGTAACCAAACAAAAAAAATAATAAAAGAATTGCAAAACTAGCACAATTAAATTACATATACATAACACTTCTCCATAAAGAAAAATAAAAATATAATAAAGCTTTATTTATACCATAGGTTTATATGTATATAAACATGAGGTAAACAAAATTACATAATAAAATTCTTATGAATTATATAAAGTGCATATGAAATAATATTTTGATACACGGTAAAGTGCATCTACATTCAAATTGTCCATTTTTATGTTCCTGATGTTGTGAATTATAGTCTTTCAAAAATATGCTAAACCTTAATAATATTTAATTTTTATTTTTCATCATGTCGATGAAAGTTAAGGGGGTTGTGATCACTATACACAACAACCGGAGAAGGAGCTGAGCTAATGTAAAGCTTATAATGTTATATGCCAAAATTAAAAGGTGAAAATTCGTTCTCGATTGTTGAGTAATTTATTTTGGTGCTTATTTAATTTATTAGAGAAATAGCACACTGGTTGATCAATACCATTTCTATCTTTTTGAATCAATATTGCTCCATCCCCAACATTACTTGCATCCACAGAAATATTTAAAAGACTGAAATGTGGAGATGTAATAACCGTCGGACTTTTGAATATAGCTTTTAACCTATCGTAAGCTTTCTATCTTTTTTCAGCCAAGAGAAACTTATTTCTCATAATAAATTTGTCAGAGGTTCAGCAATATTGGAAAAATTTAAACAAAACTTTTGATAGTATCACGCCATACCACAAAAATTGCAATAATTGCTTTTTACTGACCGGCACAGGAATATCAGAGATAGCTTTAAACTTAGCATCAATAGGTTTAACTTTACCATACCCCACAATATATCTTAGGAAAATTACACAAGCACGTCAGAACTCACTTTCAAATAAACTGATTGTCAAATAACAATCAGTAGTTTTCAAAGAATTTTCGAATCATTTCTAGCATTTCTTTTCCATGTGTCATTATAGATGATAAGCATCACAATCTAGACAGAAAGCAATCATATTCATTAAACGTTGAAAAGTACTTGGGTAACCATTCATCTCAAATGGCATTACTTTATATAGATAAAGTACATCTGAAGTCACAAACTCTGAAATTTATTTTGCTCTTTCCGTAAGAGGAATTTGCCAAAAACCTTTTAGATTGTCAATTTGGTGACGAACTTAGCATTTCCAACTTTATCAATACAATTAATTATCGATAGTTGCTAATGGAAATGAATCTGGCTTTGTTTCACTGCTTACCTTCCTTTAATCATTGCACATACGGAAAGTTTAATCCAGTTTCGGAACAAGAATGAGTGGTTAACTCCAATCACTTTTACTGGGTTGTATGATATCGTTCTAAAGAAAATACTGAATTTCCTGCTTCAAATAATCCTGTTTGAGAGGGTTCATCCTATATGGGTATTGTTTTACAGGTTTTGAATGTACAATTTCAACGTCATGAAAACTTTTGTTTGTAATCGTAGTAATATCCGGAAACAAGTGATCATATTCGAAAAATAACTGTTTATGTTCATTTCTTTATTGGTGTTAGAAATTTAAAAGTCTATGGTAAAGATTTTTCATAACTTCCGAATTCCAAAGATTTGTTTCTCCATCATCAAATTGAATCTCGACACTTATATCCTCAGTTGGTGGAACAGGTACAACTAAATTAATTGTAATAATTTACATAGCTATCTCTTTTAATATAATAGTACTCCATTTATTTATTTAGACCATTGTACTATAGTCATAATTTAATTCATTCATTTTCTCTACTTTGTAAGGTCCGTAAAATCTAACTTGAAGAAAGTTTTGAAGAAAGAGAAAGAGATAAATAACTGTAATACAGGACTAAAATGTTTTCTCAAGTAAAGTTTTATGAAAACAGTTTCACTTTTGACTTGAACTGCGAAGTGCCGAACTGAAGCGTAACAAGCTAAAATATTCCAGACATGAAATTTGTCCTTTGATCTGATAGGACAGATTTGTGAAGGCCAAATTGAGTAACAAGCTTATCAAATCTTTTGCTATCTAATTCCTTAAAGGAATTGCCTCTAGGAAATTTGCTGATGCACACATGATGTCTACAAGTAGTGGTTGACAGACTTGGTCTTAGGTAAGGGATCAACACAATCTACCATAATTCTGCTAAATGGTTCGTCAAATGCAAGAATTTGTTGTAGATGAGCCTTATGTATCTTCTGATTGGATTTTCCTACCATTTGACAAGTATGACAAGATTTGCAATATTTACAAACATCACTTTTGATATTTAGCTAGTAAAAGTGAGTCGAATTCTTGTTATAAGTTTTATTTATCCCTAGATGACCAGCCAGAGGAGTTTCATTGGTCAAACTATTTTCTGTCTGTAAGATATCTGAACTACAATCTGATAGTTCCGTGACCATTCGTCATTAACAAGCACCTCAGGAGGTCTCCATTTTCTCATAAGAATTCCAGTTTTAATAAAATGACAGACAGGTACTTCAGTGGCTTTAGTTTCACTAATGGCCCTCCGAAATATACAGATATGGGGATCTTTGTCCTGTTCGACGACGAGTGTCGATTATCACCATGATTAGATAAAAGAGAATGAATATTTAAAAGAGGATCACTGTGATAAATACTGCCTGACTGATCTAAATTAGAAGTGAAAGTGACCCCATCAAAAGCCTGACAGCTAAAGGAATAATCTCCTTATCAAAAGCATTATCAAGAGCTTTCTTTACCATAGCTTTTGTAACTGCCAAAGCTGGATATTACTCAAGAAGAATTTCAAAACTAAAACATAAACAATTTAATTACATATACGTAACAATAACTGGTTGTCTTTCAGAATTATTTTGTTCTGCTAAAATACGTGGTACATGCAGCAAGACATATCACTACCATCCTCTTGATTATTGTTTAAGTAACTAAGAATTGTTAGTTTTTCTTATTTTTATTAGCAGAGAGGCTGAACCCTACAATGATTTTTAGGGGCTCCATTTGCAAAATCAAGGGTTCTACGAAGACCGAAATATAAGGTCAATATTCGCAAACGAAGCCGTTAACCGAGTGTATTTCTATACAACAGGAAACTGATCCAATTTTACAGATCCAATTAGCTTTTTTGTTACCCCGTTCTGTCCATTTAGTTTTCAAATTTGCGACGCGCACACACGCATGTTGTCATATGCATCTCTGCTGTCGTCAACCAAAATTTTTATCGAGAATAACACGATACCTTGACCAAATGGGGTAGCTTTAGCTTGTGCAAAGAAGTTTTTGAATTTAATTATGTCAAAATACCCTGAACACAGATTTGATGCTTCGTAAGATGTGTGTATTGACTCCGTTAATCACAACTAAACTATTGCAGTTCTCTCTGAATACTTTTCGTATTTGTGCATACGGCAAGGTAAAATAAATCACGAATTTGTTTTAATGTCTACCTTCTAGTTGGGTTTGTTTGCATGTCCAGCATAATATCATCCGTTACTACTAAATTGTTAATATCTCCGTCTAGGTCATCAATATCAGTGATAAAATCGATAACATCATTACCATCTTTATACAATGACGCCACGTTTTCATTAAAATCTTTAAGTACTTCATAGCATTGTTGCTCATCTACAGATTGTTCCACTTAATGCAACTTATCCCACCTGAGTCATTTCATTATCATATCAAATAAAAATTGTTTTACCAGACTCAGATTGTCCAATGATTATCAGCCTTATAGAATTTCGTAGTCCTGGATAATGTTTAAATGCTCACGCGCTCGGGTTGCTGAGAAGTCAA